TACTTATTTTTGGAAGTTACATTTAACTATTATTATTATTTAAAATGCCCAGGGATAGCTGTGTTTTGGCTTTGACTGTATTTGCTAAGTGTTTAAGATGAAGCAAGTCAAACTGACTTTTGTTTCCATCTATTTTTAACAGTCAGCTGAGTTTCCCTGGGAGTCCTCGGGAACTTCACAGCAGCTTCTCAGTTCTGCTAGTGCCATTTGTGCTAGGATGGGTCCAGGCCTTGCTTGACCATGTGGCTTCCCTTGGAAGCATCAGGGATGTCTCCCTTTTCTGATGACCCTCCTCTTCACAGCAAATGCACTGATTGGCTTTCTGTCCTCCACTGGTCTCATTAATCTCCCTACTCAGCAGGTTATGTGGCCTAGAGTTGCAGAGCCCTTTGGAGAAGTCCCCTATTCCCTGATTCAGACTGACTTAGAGGGCAAGAGCCAAATATTGGTTTTCTTGGCCCTTTTAATTTAACTAATTTTAAAAACTTAATCTTAAACATCCAGCAAATAAGTTAACAGCCTTATATTAAGAGCACTGGGCTTTAATGTCTATCTCTCTATCCTGTAGGTGATAACTCCTTATCTTATGTTGACCCAGGTTGTGTTCTTAAAGCAATATCTCTTTAAAACATTAACAGGCAATCCTTAAACCATCTATAAGCAAACTACAAAACAAAACTAACTAGGGTAAAAACATATTTAGCTTATATAATAGCTACCTTGAATTCTGGCAGGGTTATACATCATAATTCCCTATTTGAGATCCTAGTAATCTTGGCAAAAACCTACTTTTGGACACAACTTTAACTGTACTGAAATCTGGCTTACTTCTTTCATAGCCACTTTCACATGTAGTGAGATGGGACAGAGCCTTATCTCAAGTAAGGCAGGGCTCTTTATAAATCTCAAGTACTATAGTTCTGAAGCTGATCATTTTACAAAGTTTACATAAATTGTTGTTCAAGTTTACATGAACATTAGCTAACACAACATAATATCACATTTAAAACATGAATTAAAGGCTGAAAGCTTTTAACCTCTTGTAGAAAAGTAGTAATGTACTTTTGTGTTTTGCAATAAAACCTTCACACAGATTAGGCTCTCATTAACTTAAAAATACATAAATTGTATCTCAGAGTAGAAAGTAACATGGAACCGTACATATCTTATTGATAACAAGTTCAGTTGTAGAACACAAATGATATGAATAAATCTCCAACATGTTTTTCTTTTAAGCCTAAAATTACCATACAACTTTAGAACACCAGCTTGATATAATGTTCTTTTGAAGCTTCTACCTTACAGACTTGTATACCTGGAAGATATGAACACATTAATAGCACCATAATTACATTGATGTTTTTATATTGACCAAGTTTAGCTTTTAAAGAAACAACATTACAATATTGAAAAATAACAGCTGTTGTTTAACCATAGTTGTATAATCTTTAATTTTTTTTAAGATTACTTGCTCAAACTTATACATATAACCAACTTACACAGACCTTCTTTATCACTTACTTAAACCCTCTTAATTACTTAATCACATAGACTCTCTTATCCAGAAACACATTTTCCCTCTATTAAATCCATATCTAAAACTTTCTTGTTTTTCTTTTCCATCTGTTTACCTCCTTCTGTTCACACTTTAAAACAATATCTGTAAATTTCTGAATTTAAGCAGATTATTTTATAGACATCATTATTTTATTAGGGTCTTTTTGAACACCTAGAAAAACTTATAAGCTTAATTTTAAAGACATCTTTACTTTTATCTGTTTACCCAATTTAAATTGAACCATTTGATTCACGTAAATCAAAGATATTTGGATCCATTTTTAAATGTTTTTTTGAGCGCTCCTCATCTGTCAATTGTCATATCACTGCAGGATATATGGACATACACACATACAGACATACCGACATACAACACATAACACAAGTGTAACACCCTTGTAGCTTTTTCAGGTGAAATCTCCATTGCAATGTTTAAAAACTCCACAGTTGATCAGAAATAGAACTGATCAGAAAACATTAACCCATCTGTGGGATTAAAATCATGAGATCCAAAAAAAATGCAGAATCTAAGAAAAAGCAAGAGTCCTAAAAAAGATGACTGGCCAGTAATTAATAAATACCATATAATTTACTTTAGGGTTGGGGTCTAGTTTGAGTTCAGGTAAAAAGACACTTTAACCTTTTTTTTTTTTTTTCCCTTGGGCCTAAAATCTGCCCTCTGTTGAGCCCCAGGCTTCTTCTATTTGCATATCAGCTTAAGTCCTGGCTGAGGTCTGGAAGGAACTGGGAAAACTGGAATTCTGAGCAGAAACCTCATGCCTAAGGCATTTTAGCTATAAGTCATAATTTCTAGGTTTAAGGTGTAATTTTCAAAATTTTATATCTTTATATCTTTTTACATTAGAAACACTTGCTCATGCAAAACTGAAAATAGGATCTTTTTCTGATGATATAAAGGCCACCATCAGAGGAAATTCCCTCAGGATCATTAAGCTGCTTCCTTTGTTCTGAAGTTTCTAAAATAGTGAAAGACCCCAGCCCAATAACTTTAGGCCCAGTAATAAATTACCAGGGCTTGCTTCCGCACCTGCACAGACGTCAGATGTATTTTTCAGAAAATCAGTTAAGTGTAACAGATTAAGAAAGGACAGGATGGTTGGGAAAGGAGCCGGCACGGTTGGGCAAACGGGATCATACAATGAAAAACCATACAATGAATAACAAATGGTTTTTATGTGGTTTTTCCAGGAACCTATAGTGAAAAACAAGTTTACCCTTTAAGTGACCTATATGCTGGATTCAAAAGAGCCAATGAGATACCTGTTACTGTGCTAGGAGGGAAACTGACCACTGTACCCTATAAAAGATCTGTACCCCAAAGCCCGGTGTGCCAGTTCACCGAAGCTCCGGCTGAGGTTTCGCTGAGCACCCGCAGGCGCCTGTGTATCAATAAATCGCCTCTTGCTTTTGCAGCCAGTGCCTCGTGCGTCTTTCTTGGACAGGGAATCGGCGGGTCTTTCATTTGGCGAGCCAGCCAGGAGAACTCCTGTAACCCCATCCAGATCCCTGCCTGAGGAACACCCGATAACCACTGGGAGGTAAGCTGGCCAGTTCGTGTCATTTTGTGTCTCTCTCTGTCTGGTTGTTATCTTGTTATCTGTTCATGCGCAGCGTCTGTACGATTACGCGTAATTGCTCTGTATTCTGGGCAGCTTGAGAAGGAGTTGACGAACTCGGACTTCTCCCCTGCCACCCTGGGAGACGTCCCAGGGGCTCAGGGAGGCCCATCTTGGGGGGGCCTCCAATGTTCTGTAGAGTACACTGTACTCGTGGGTGACGGAGGTGACGGTATCCCTCCTCTCCCTAATCCGTCAGGTACGTTCGGTTTGTGCTCGAGCCACGCAGCGTTCTCTGTGTCCAGTCTGATATTTGTGTCTGTCTTCTTGCCTTTGCACTTTCTCACTCCATCTAAGACTAACATGGGGCAATCCATAACAACTCGTTTGAGTCTCACCCTTGACCATTGGCAGGACGTCCGAAATCGGGCAGACAACCAGTCAGTAAAAGTTAAGAAGAAAAAAAAAAAAAGCGGCTCAGGGGCACCCGGCCCTCTCCCTCCCTCGTTGGGGTAGAAGGGAACGGGTCCCCAAACCTCCTGAGTGTTATCACAGGGCCAAGGAAGCGAACGGGTCTTCCTGGAGTCGGGCTGCTTGGAAATGCAGCCCAAGGCAGATGATAAATTCCATCTAAGGCTGAATACTGAGACTAGAGAAGCAATGTTTTCTTCCCCCCCCCCCCCATAACCGGCTTGAGTGCAAATAGAGATGCCTGCTGGGGATTTAATAACTTTGACATCTCGCTTTGACTTTTCTCAAAGCCCTGTCCTCATTATTAAATTGGTGTTAATTGGTTTTAGAGATGGGAACCAAATTTTCAGTCACAAATTTTGACACTCTCAAGGGGGCTTTTAAGGAGTCCCCACTCTGCTTTCTTGGGGAAGCCTAGCACTCGAAACAACTGCAAGCAGAGGATGGACTTTTTGGGAGCTGGTTACTAAAAAGTTAAAAAAAAAAATGCCTAATGCCTAAGGTCAAACCAAACTGGAGGAACTGATCCTATGGGTGAAAGATAGGATTAAGGGACTCCCAGCAGCTGCCAGAGCCATTTAGCTCTGGGGAGTTCCCTGGGTCCTTATCTACATCTTAGGGATTACACCACCTCTGTTTACTTAAAAAGAAGGGACACTGAATGCAGTAAAGCCAGTCACACTGAGACCCTTGATTTTACACCTATAGTTGCCCCTACGTGAAAACATCTGGTCCACTCATGGGAAAGTCTATGGTGCCACTGATGGGAGTCATAATTAAATGAAAGTTTAAAACCTGGAGAGATATTTTCTTATCTGGTTGTCTGATTGTTTCTTAGGGATAATCTAGGTTAAATGTGTGTCCAAAAAAAAAAAAATAATAATAATTTTTTATTGTAACAATCTGGTATCTAAATGGGTTTCTAAAGCATTGCACTATCTTGCAGTTAAAAGTTGGGTGTAAGCAATTGTTTAGTTTGATTTCAGATGGTTCATGCTAGAAAACTTAAATACTTGGGATAAAAAAATTAAAGAGTTTCAATTTTGAACTGGGTAGCCTGAAAAGAAATTAAAACGTTGGTCTGGCTCATAAAAATGACATTAGATAATTAAATAGCAATAGTCTTAGAAATTTTCAAAGCTTAATTTCAGATATATATGGTAGTGTGTGAGCAAATTTAATGTAACTCAATGCTACTTTAGGAACTTTAGAACAAGCAAAGTGGCTTAGAGGTACTAAAGAAATTTCTTCTGATGGTAGAGGTCCTATTTCCAGTTTTATGTGAACAAGTTTTTCTAATGTAAAAAGATATGAAATTTTAAATTTTGGAAATTGCTTCTTAAATTTGTATCATAATTTTCAACATCTAAACCTGGAAATATAACTTAAGGTTAAAATGCTTCCCTGAACTCAAACTAGATCAAACCAAGAAGTAAATTGTATGGTATTTACTAACTACTGGCCAGTCGTCTTTTTTTAGGACTCTTGTTTTCTCTTAGATTCTGTATTTTTTTGAGCTCGTGATTCTGATCCTGCAGACCTAGGTTAATGTTTTTCTGATCAGTGAAGTTTTTAAAAAAAAAAAAAAAAAACACAAAAACATTGCAATGGAGATTTCATCTGCGAAAAGCTACGAGGCCTTTATTATTGTTATGTGTGCACACTCGTGTTATGTGTTGTATGTCGGTATGTCTGTATGTGTGTATGTCCATATATCCTGCAGTGATATAACAATTGACAGATGAGGAGCGCTCATAAAAAATAAAAAAAATTAAAAATAGATCCAAATATCTTTAATTCACGTGATTCAAACGGTTCAATTTAGATTGGGTAAACAGATAAAAGTAAAGATGTCCTCAAAATTAAGCTTATAAGTTTCTCTAGGTGTTCAAAAAGGCCCTAATAAAATGTTAACTCTGCTTAAATTTAAAAGTTTACAAGTATTGTTTCAAAATGTGAACAAAAGGAGGTTTATGTAATTATGGTGTTATTAATGTGTTCATATCTTCCAGGTATACAAGTCTGTAAGGTAGAAGCTTCAAAAGAACATTATATCAAGCTGGTGTTCTAAAGTTGTATGGTAATTTTAGGCTTAAAAAAAAAAACATGTTAGAGATTCAATTATATCATTTGTGTTCTATAACTGAACTTGTTATCAATAAGATATGTACTGTTCCATGTTACTTTCTACTCTAAGATACAATTTATGTATTTTTAAGTTAATAAGAGCCTAATCTGTGTGAAGGTTTTATTGCAAAACACAAAAGTACATTACTACTTTTCTACAAGAGGTTAAAAGCTTTCAGCCTTTAATTCATGTTTTAAGTGTGATATTATGTTGTGTTAGCTAAAGTTCATGTAAACTTGAACAACAATTTATGTAAACTTTGTAAAATGATCAGCTTCAGAACTATAGTACTTGAGATTTATAAAGAGCCCTGCCTTACTTGAGATAAGGCTCTGTCCCATCTCACTACATGTGAAAATGGCTATGAAAGAAGTAAGCCAGATTTCAGTACAGTTAAAGTTGTGTCCAAAAGTAGGTTTTTGCCAAGATTACTAGGATCTCAAACAGGAAATTATGATGTATAACCCTGCCAGAATTCAAGGTAGCTATTATATAAGGTAAATATGTTTTTACCCTAGCTAGTTTTGTTTTGTAGTTTGCTTTTAGATGGTTTAAGGATTGCCTGTTAATGTTTTAAAGAGATATTGCTTTAAGAACACAACCTGGGTCAACATAAGATAAGGAGTTATCACCTACAGGATAAAGAGATAGACATTAAAGCCCAGTGCTCTTAATATAAGGCTGTTAACTTATTTGCTGGATGTTTAAGATCAAGTTTTTAAAATTAGTTAAATTAAAAGGGCCAAGAAAACCAATATTCGGCTCTTGCCCTCTGAGTCAGTCTGAATCAGGGAATAGGGGACTTCTCCAAAGGGCTCAGCAACTCTAGGCCACATAACCTCCTGAGCAGGGAGATTAATGAGACCAGTGGAGGACAGAAAGCCAATCGGTACATTTGCTGTAAAGAGGAGGGTCATTAAAAAAGGAAGACATCCCTGATGCTTCTGAGGGAAGCCATATGGTCAAGCAAGGCCTGGACCCATCCTAGCGCAAATGACACTAGCAGAACTGAAAAGCTGCTATGAAGTTCCCGAAGACTCCCAGGATAACTCAGCTGACTGTAAACAATAGGTAGAAACAAAAGTCAGTTTGACTTGCTTCATCTTAAACACTTAGCAAAGACAGTCAAAGCCAAAGCACAGCTGTTCCTGGACATCTTAAATGATAATAATAGTTAAATGTAACTTCCATAAATAAGTAGACTGGAGGCTACAAAAGAGATTCTTGGACAGAAATGCCTGATAACTGTCAAAGGGACTGCTAGAGTAGTTTTAGTCTAAGGCCTTTATTTCTAGCCAACGCAGGTAGGCTTGATGTTTGCTAATATGGTTATCCAGCCCTAAGTAGCAAAATTAAAGATTTCTCTATTAGACACAGAGGTCATACTAGTAAAAGGATTTTGCAGGATCAGATGGCATTAAATTATTAAACTATATCTTAAAGGAAAAGACATCTGTAACCCTACATGTTAGTTGTTGTGTTGACATCCCTGACATTTCTGACAATGTGACAAATATCCTTAAAGATTTACCTGCTCAGATGGAAGCCATGTCCTCAGCAACTTTTTCGTGGAAACAATATCCTAGCTCCTAGTTCCTGGTACTGCCTGATGAAAAACATTGTTAATCTTTGTCTTGGCCATTATACTCATTGGCATATTTCTGTGCTGTGGCATTTATTACTGCATCAATATGGTTCCAGTACTAATAAGTTCTTGTTTCTCTTATAGACCACCCATCACTCAAATGGCCCTCCAACCTATTACTTCTCAATTAGACTTTCATCATGGACCACTCGATAGACCCGATATTTTTAAGGGGGACTCCAAACTGCTTGCCCCACGCCGTCCCTTTTCAGCCTGAAGAAGCCAGAAAGATTCTCTTCGTCCCCCTTCCTCACAGCAGTAAGGAGTTCCCAAATTAGAAAAAAAAAAAATGAAGCCAGATTTAAAGTTAGGTAGTCAGTGTAGTTAGATAAATCAGGGGTCTAATATCAAGTGACCAAGTCTATCACTGCCTTAGAGAAATCTCTCTCTTCCCTCGCAGAAGTCGTGCTACAAAATAGGAGGGGATTAAATCTGTGATTCCTTAGGAAAGATGGTCTCTGTATGGTTTTAAAGAAACAGTGTTGTTTTTATGCTGACCATAAGGGGGTGGTCCGGGAAACTATGGAGAAAGTCACTAAAAGGTTGGCAAAAAGGCAAAAAGAATTTGAAGCACAACAAGGATGATTTGAACATTGGTTTAACAAATCCCCATGGTTAACTACTTTGCTATCCACCAGAGCGGGACCTTTAATTATTTTGCTGATAATCCTGACGTTTGGACCCTGCATACTCAATAGATTGGTGCAGTTTATGAAAGAAAGACTTTCTGTAATCCAGACTATGGTCCTTACTCAGCAATACCAGTTGCTTCAACAACAGACAGGGTCACAAACGAGCTTAATCCAAGAACCTGAGCAAGCAGGACAATGGATATAAGATTCTATCCATGATAAAGAAAAAGGGGGGAATGAAAGACCCCAGCCCAATAACTTTAGGCCCAGTAATAAATTACCAGGGCTTGCTTCCGCACCTGCACAGATGTCAGATGTATTTTTCAGAAAATCAGTTAAGTGTAACAGATTAAGAAAGGACAGGATGGTTGGGAAAGGAGCCGGCACGGTTGGGCAAACGGGATCATACAATGAAAAACCATACAATGAATAACAAATGGTTTTTATGTGGTTTTTCCAGGAACCTATAGTGAAAAACAAGTTTACCCTTTAAGTGACCTATATGCTGGATTCAAAAGAGCCAATGAGATACCTGTTACTGTGCTAGGAGGGAAACTGACCACTGTACCCTATAAAAGATCTGTACCCCAAAGCCCGGTGTGCCAGTTCACCGAAGCTCCGGCTGAGGTTTCGCTGAGCACCCGCAGGCGCCTGTGTATCAATAAATCGCCTCTTGCTTTTGCAGCCAGTGCCTCGTGCGTCTTTCTTGGACAGGGAATCGGCAGGTCTTTCAATAGTATTAAGCTTTATCATGTATATCCAAAATCAAGCCTTAAAAATTTCCAAGACTGTTGCTAATTAATGTCATTTCAATAAACCAGACCAACATTTTAGTTAAGCAAACAGAGGTGGGGTAATCCCTAAAGTGCAAGTAAGGAAGGAGGAGACTCCCCAAAGCAAAATGGCTTTGGCAGCTGCTGGGAGCCCCTTAGTTCCACCTTTTACTTATAGGATTAGTTCCTCTGGCTTGATCTGACCCCAAGCACTAGGCATTTCTCACATCTCCTAACTTTTCAGTAGTCAGCTTCCCAAAAAGTTCATCTTCTGCTTGCAGTTGTTTTGAGTTTGAGAAAAGTTTAAGCGAGATATCAAAGTTTTTAGACCCCAGGCATTTCCCTCTGCAGTGGGCGTGCTCAAGCCAACTACGGGAAGAAAAGAAAACACTGCTTCCCTAATCTCGCTTAACAAAGGGGGGTAAAGTTTATCAAAGTTCTTTAAAACACAGCTAAGAGAGGTGTAAAAGGTGAGAACAGAAAAGCTGGCAGTTCTATTGACTTTTGGTCACTCACAAGAGAAGCATTAGGTTAAAATTTAGCTAAAGTTACTTCCACACATCTAAGGCCATTTGGAATTTGGGACTCTGCATTGGTCCAAAGTAAAACAATGCCATCACACTTAACAGAGACACAGACAAAATGACACACAAAGATCATCATGCAGCTCCCGTTCGTTCACAACCCCAAGATCTACAATCTTGTGACTCAAGGAGAATGGAGGGAAAAGGGGGAGGAGCAGAAGGATTGAGTGATAGGATCTTGGGGGAAGGGGTCGGAGTGGAGGCAGGGACCAAGAAAGGCTTCAGGGACAGAGGCGTGGAATGGCTTTGTCCCATACTGGGAGTTACTCAGGCAGAGACAGGGACAAACAGTAAACGGTTAACACAAGTTCAGAGTCAAAGATTAAAGACAGACTGTGAATCCAATCTGAGAGAAAGAATTGCCGGTGAAACCAAACGGGTTGGCAGCAGAGTACAAACGAGGGCACTCTTGTCCCTCTACCAACTGGGGGCACTTTTGCCCCCCCCCGAATCCTCTAAGGCGTCCCTTAAGAGGGGTGGCCTTTGGATTAGGACACGTCTGTCACCACTGCCAGGGAGAATTTACACTCTCCACTGACGGCCACGCTGCCAACCCAACCAAACCAATCCAAGCCAAAGACCAAACCTGAACCAAAAAGCTCTGAGAACTTACGCTCTCCACCAAGCCAAAAACCAAAAAGCTCTGAGAACTTACACTCTCCATTGAGCCAAAAACCAAAAAGCTCTAAGCGATCGCAAAGGAAAAACAAGGAGAACAAGGAGGAGAAGAGAAGGAGGAAGAAGAAGAGGAAGAGGTGCCTTACTTACCCCCTAAAGGAGTCCATTGGAGGTCTCCTTGTCCGGCGATGCGCTTTTCCCAACAAAGTTGAGCTCTGCTGCATCAGAGGTCCTAGAGTCCCCTGGGGATGATTTCCACCAGGGGACTCGACAGTGGTTTTATCCAGTTAATGGATGAGTCAGACACCTGGAGGTTGGGGCTTCTTATTCCACGAAAACAACAGGTTGTGAGAGGGTTTCCCTCCTGGATGGAGTGGTTGATCCAAATTATCAAAGGCAATTTAACTGCTGTTATGCAAGAGGAGCAGAGAGAACAATACCTGGGCCCCCTTGATGGGTACCTCTTAGCATTTCCTTGCTCAATTAGTACAGTTTAATTGAAAATCAAAGCAATAATCATGGGGAGGGTTTGGGGAGCTTTTGGTCAAAGGATGCAAATGTGAAGTAGGAGGAACCATTGAACCATCTATTGTATAACTCTGAAGGATATATAAGAAGAGTTACTATTTTTAGCACAGAGAGGGAGTGCCAAGGACAGACTGGAGAGAGGGCCAGCCCTGAGGAGGAGACTGGGACTCCTTGCAGAGGGGTGGCTCTGGCCCTCCAGGTGAAGTTCAGGAGGCACATAGGGAAGCCTATGTGCAAGCCGACCACCACCCACTGGAGGAATGTGTCACACAGTAGCCACACAGAATCTCTTCCCACTGAAGGAAGTCACCTGGGGGCCACATCCCTGCAGGCAGAAAAGGGATATGTTGGGACCTGGAGGAGTACCGCAGTCTGGCTGGGCACAAAATCACAAGCCACCACACAGCTTGTAGATTCAAACAGCAACTCTTTATTCCCGAACTCACATCAGCCGTCTACAATCACGTTCTGGGGAAATCCACGTTCTCTGCCCAAATCCACCACACACTGGGCTTCTGTCTCCCAAAAAATACTGTCTGAATCTGTGAGAACTCAAGGGGAACTCAGGCAGCAGGATACGCCCTATTCCCAGCAGGAATAACCTTAAACCTGGAACGCCCTAAACCCGGATTATCCTAAACCCGGAACACCCTAAACCTGGATCCGCCCTGGTCCTTGAAGGTCACCTTACATGCAATGTCACTGCAAAATGTCCTATTTCCACGAGTCCTTCCACTAAGCAACATGGGGTACACTGGCAAGGAAATTGTCATACCTACTTGGCTAATGGCTCCCAGCAGAGGAGCACATGTCTCTTACAATGTCCAGGTAGCAGGCAGGGAGCTATGTTGACAAGACTCAGGTCAGCATTATACAGTACATCCAAATGGTGGGTTTGGAGCTGAGAGTCGAGAATTCTGTGTCCTCTTCCTGGTGGGTTAGCGGCTCACCATCACACTGCTACCCACATTTAACCTCTGTAAAGTCATTTCGAATCAACTCTGTGTCCATCAGGACTTAGCAGAAGGGAGGCTGACTTGCTATCACCTGCCTCCTGAAATACCTGGATAGAAATACAAGGCCACCTCTGCAAATCCCTCACTCCAGAACGCTTGTGATCCAGTCTCAGATGCAAAAAACAGTTTACAGAAAACACAGGGGATGGGTTAAGGACACCAGGACAACACATTCAGCCAGCATTGAGTATCTCCAAGACCACCCCATAGTTGAGGTTTCCCTGGAAGTTTTCATGAGGCTTAGTGGATAGCTGCATTTGTGGCTGATTTACTACAGTGATGTGTTAAGAGCACACAGCTGGACGGCAAGGAAAGGCCTTGAGCTCTTCAGAAGTCCGCCTGCAGGCTTCCTGTGCTCCTCCCTCCCTGTGAGGCACAGAATGCACCCTCCCCTGGGTGTGGAGATGCAGAGAGAGGGGAAGTGGTTCCACCCTTAGAAGCCTACCAGAGACTCAGCCCCCAGCCACACAGAGGAGGAAGGCTGGAGCTCATCCTTTCTCTGAAAGATGTGAGTGAGTGCACTGTGGTGCACAGAGCGTGCTGTGGGTGGAGTGGGCAGAGGGTACCCTGTGGGTGCCATGTGCCTTATGAGTGACTGCACCCTGAGCGTGGTGGATTCTGTGGGATGAGCCTGTGGGTGGTATGTTCCCAGTGAGTGCAGGGCTCCCTGTGGGTGGGGTGTACCCACTGGGTGGGGCTTTCTGGCAGGGGGGTGGCAGGGGAGAGGGGTTGAATGGGCGGGGCTTCCCTGTGTGTGGGGCGTTCCTTGGGTGGGTGTTCCCTGTGATCACAGGGCTCCCTGTGGGCGGGGTGTCCCAGTGGGTGCAGGGTTCACTGTAGGGATAAGTGTCCTCTCCAGGTGGAGTTGAGGAGGGAGGCAGTGGTGCAGGGGGCAAAGTGTTTCAGAGGAGCAAGAATCACTGGTGTGGGCCCTGGGGGGAGGTGGGAGTTGCTGAATTGAGGAATCCTGCATTTCTCTGTGGGAGCCCAGGGTTCCCAGCAGGAGGCCAATGGGATGGAATCCAGGCTTAAGGGGGATCTGCTCCTGAGAAGGCTTGAGAGGAGCCAGGAGGCCTAGTGGATGGAGTGAAGGGCGGTTCCCTGGGGCCATTGGGGCCCCCCCACCAAGGGCTAGTGGAAGAGGGGCTGCACCAGCAGGGGAGTAGCAGCTGGGGGTTACTGTTAACGTTGGTGGTAAATTATCAGAAATCACCTGCCCAGAGCAAGAGGTTGCTCAATCATGGCAAAACCCTGTAGACTGAAACATTTGGGGGCATTAATAATATGCATAAGAAAAGCTTGGGGTGATATAAAAAACAAAGTGTATCTTGAATCTGGCATGAAGGGAGCAGGGTTCCCAAGAGCTTGTCAGTAGGAACACAGTGTAATGAAGAGGCCCCTGGGGAGTTCTGGAGGGAGGAATACATCCACAGACAATGTTTGATTAAGAACTTTTCCTCTCCTGCTTTTATGTTGTCTTTAGATTTTTCTTTGGTAAGAATTATTTTATAATAATTGGAAGGTTTTCTTTGTTTCTTTTTTTACTGCTAATCCCTACAAACTTGGAAGAAGGAAAAGGCTCCCTCATGCATGAATGAGGACCAAGGAGGATTCTTTACTGAAATGACTCCATCTGAGCTCTTACTGACAACTCCCAGGCCAAGATCAGGCAGCTGGTTGGGTCCTGGGGGTCAGAAGCATGAATTGATTCATGAGAGAACCAGTGACACAGTGTCCACACGAATTTCCAGGCCCTCAAACTACAGATTCCGTAATTACACCTTGTTACACCTGCAGAACTATTTCAGGGGGAAGTACATCAGGAGAACAGCTAGGAAAGCATTTGCAATGGGAAATGTAGAAAGTTATCAATGAAATGAAGAAGTTTGGGGGAGAGCTAACTGGGCCATCTTCCTTCTGAATCCTTTTGGCTGTGCCTTTGTTGTAAGGAACAAAATGAGAAAAAAGCTAATGGTCCTGAGGCCTTGAAGTCAGGAAACAGAAAAAAAGGACCTCGTTCACCATATATTCTGCTAAATGAGTCAAGTCCCACTGGTCCTGGAGTCATCAAGGGCTCTGCAGTTTTAACTTGCCAGGAATAGGGTTTGAAACCCATACCATACATCAGCCCCTTCCAGGTGACCGCAAGGGGATGCATGGGGGGG